CAAGTAACAAATTAGAGTAGCCGGCTATTTGGTGTGGAACCTCTAAAGTTGACACAAGATTTTGGAGAATATCTGCACAATAATTAGAATAATTGGCTTAAACCTAAGTGCAGCTATAGAAGACAAGAAAGAAAAAAAGAACAGAAAAAAATAGAAGGAAAAATAGGAGTAGAGGCTGGGTACAAAGGAATAAAGAAGAAGAGCAAATCAAGGCCCAGAAAGACTGATAAAAGAGTAGGATAGCTGGTGCAGCACAAAACATTTGCTAGGGCAAAACCTTTTGCTGATGCTAAACCTCCCAAACTAAGGATATATTATATGATACATCTACAATTTGTACCTTTAGTCTCCACATTGATAAAGTCACATTTTCATCTCTTTTATCTGTTCCTATCAAAGAGAACCCTCCATGGGTGACAACTCAAGTTTCTTAGGTACTCACCCATAAATGTTATCTTCAGGAATACATATTGGTTAACTTGCTTTTTTTTGTTATATGAGTGTATGTGACACATTATTCCCTTTTTTTCAACTTTTCTAGTTTTTTTCTGGGGGTTTGTTTGTTGCAACCTGAGTGTGGGACTTTGTGAACTTTCCACCTGGGGGGATCAGCACTTGGTGAATCACTGGGGTGGTGGCAAAGGATGGCAGACTGTTTTTAATACAAATAAGGCTCTGTTTGTTGTAACAACATATATTTTGGATGGTATGTATTTCATCAAGTATTATGCGATCTATGTATACAGTTTAACATATGCAAGATCCTTAACATTACTTATTTTATTGTGAAAAATATCTTTACCACCCTCCTCTATAATTCCACCCCTGATGAAAAATATTGGTCTGAAATGCATTAGGCATCCCACTGAAGAAGCTTTGTTTTCCTCATTACCAACAGTGGGATGAAGAGGATGCTCTACAACATCAAGTTTATAGCTTATGTTCAAGAAGAAGTGACCACTGAGATTTGTTTTTTTTAAGACACTTTGGGATTTGTTTTATTTTATCATGTTGTAATAAAGCTTTTTATCAGATTTTACTTCAGACCTTTTTCAGTTGTCTTAAAAGTCCCATATTACTACTGGGTTCTTTTTCGATTTTTCTCTTGTAATATATCATCTGCAAGCTCCCTTTGTTTTAATGCACCCTTTGTTTTAATGCACCAACATATGCAGCCACCGGAAATGATACAACCAGCTGTCTTTATCAAGGTATGTTCTGGTGATCTTTGATTGGACCCATTAAGAGGAAGGAGTGAATGGAGCTGTCACAGCTTGGAGTAATATTACAGGCCTGTTTTTAGCAGAGTTCTGGTGAGTGCATATGAGTGAAGGATTTTCATGGAAGAGTTGTCACAATTGGATGTATGTCACCTGTCTACATGTTCATTGAAGATACTGGACTATTTGATTTTACACAAACTGTTTATATCTGTTTATTTGGCACTAAGCACTTTTTTGCCACTTTATTTGGTGTCTTTTGTATATATGTTGGTGCATATTATATACAGGTGAAACTCAAAAAATTAGAATATCGTGCAAAAGTTCATTTATTTCAGTAATGCAACTTAAAAGGTGAAACTAATATATGAGATAGACTCATTACATGCAAAGCAAGATAGTTCAAGCCGTGATTTGTCATAATTGTGATGATTGTGGCTTACAGCTCATGAAAACCCTAAATCCACAATCTCAGAAAATTAGAATATTGTGAAAAGGTGCAATATTCTAGGCTCAAAGTGTCCCACTCTAATCAGCTAATTAAGCCATAACACCTGAAAAGGGGTTCCTGAGCCTTTAAATGGTCTCTCAGTCTGGTTCAGTAGGAATCACAATCATGGGAAAGACTGCTGACCTGACAGTTGTGCAGAAAACCATCATTGACACCCTCCATAAGGAGAGAAGCCACAAAAGGTAATTGCAAAAGAAGTTGGATGTTCCCAAAGTGCTGTATCAAAGCACATTCATGGAAAGTTATGTGGAAGGGAAAAGTGTGGAAGAAAAAGGTGCACAAGCAGCAGGGATGACTGCAGCCTGGAGAGGATTGTCAGGAAAAGGCCATTCAAAAGTGTTGGGGACTTTCACAAGGAGTGGACTGAGGCTGGAGTCAGTGCATCAAGAGCCACCACACTCACAGACGGATCCTGGACATGGGCTTCAAATGTCGTATTCCTCTTGTCAAGCCACTCCTGAACAACAAACAACGTCAGGAGCGTCTTACCTGGGCTAAAGAAAAACAGACCTGGTCTGTTGCTCAGTGGTCCAAAGTCCTCTTTTCTGATGAGAGCAACTTTTGCATCTCTCATTTGGAAACCAAGGACCCAGAGTATGGAGGAAGATTGGAGAGTCACACACTGCAAGATGCTTGAAGTCCAGTGTGAAGTTTCCACAGTCTGTGTTGATTTGGGGAGCCATGTCATCTGCTGGTGTTGGTCCACTGTGCTTCATTAAGTCCAGGGTCAATGCAGCTGTCTACCAGGAGATTTTGGAGCACTTCATGCTTCCTTCCGCAGACAAGCTTTATGGGGATGCTGACTTCATTTTCCAGCAGGACTTGGCACCTGCCAACACTGCCAAAAGCACCAAAACCTGGTTCAGTGACCGTGGGATTACTGTGCTTGATTGGCCAGCAAACTTGCCTGACTGAACCCCATAGAGAATCTAGGGGGGCATTGCCAAGTAGAGAGAAAGATGAGAGACATGAGACCGAACAATGCAGAAGAGCTGAAGGCCGCTATTGAAGCATCTTGGTCTTCCATAACACCTTAGCAGTGCCACAGGCTGATATCTTCCATGCCACACCGCGTTGAGGCAGTAATTGCTGCAAAAGGGGCCCAAACCAAGTACTGAGTACATATGCATGCTTATACTTTTCAGAGGTCCGATATTTTTCTATGTACAATCCTTGTTTTTATTGATTGCATGTAATATTCTAATTTTTCTGATATTGTGAATTTTGGGTTTTCATGAGCTGTAAGCCATAATCATCACAATTATGACAAATCACGGCTTGAACTATCTTGCTTTACATGTAATGAGTCTATCTCATATATTAGTTTCACCTTTTAAGTTGCATAACTGAAATAAATTAACTTTTGCACGATATTCTGATTTTTCGAGTTTCACCTGTATGTAAGTTATTAAGCATTAATGCCAGATGGGTTTATGATGTTGTTTGTGAGTATGCTCGTTTCACTGGATGATTTACAATAATTTTGGAACATATTTATATATGAATTGTTAATTTTGTTTATTGGTTGTTAGCTCTGCACTGTGTGTTATTTAACCTCCCTAGCGGTATGATTATTTTTCAGATTTTTGGTGCTGAAAGCGGTACCATTATTCTGCATGGAAATATGTAGTTTTTTTATTGTAGGCTGTAATATTTAGGAATAACTCACTGAAATCTGTCCGAAACAAGAGTCTATTAAACATACCGGGTATGATAAAATTTGAAACACAAAATCATAAATTATAATTTAATAAATAATCATAAAAAATAATAATGTAATAATATTACATTTAATTCAATAATATAATCAAACCAAAAACACTGACATTTGAAATATAGCGCCAAGTTCGCACATTGCTGATGAGCAAAGTCGCAAAATCGTTTTCAGTATCTGATGACGAATTTCCCCCATGAATCATTATCACTCAATTCTGCAAGTGGTTCTGATTTACTATCACTGTTCTCTAGCTGATCTAAACCCGCTTTTGACCTAAAGGGACACTTTTTGGACGCCGTGGACTTTCTAAGTTTCCAGGCAGAAAGAACATTCAAAATGCAGACAGGGGACAGGACAGAGCACCAGGGACAAAATATATGTGAAATGGGTTTTGAAACAGCAATGTTTTACTATGTAAAATCATTTTGAAAAAAAAATGACATTTTTTTTAAATTTTCAAATTTCCCGCCACCGGCGGCACCCGTACGTCCCGACGTCACAGGGACCGGAACACAGGAGCCGGATGCCGGCATCTGCCGGAGAAGATGGCTGGGGACGCTGCAGGGGACACATCGCTGGAGTGAAGGACAAGGTAAGTGCTGCAGGGACTCCCTATACAGCGCTGCATGGTAAGCCGAGTGTAGCTCGGGGTTACTGCTTTTGGTACTGACATTTTACCCCGAGCTACACTCGGGAATACCGTTAGGGAGGTTAAGGAATAAATATTAAATTAGTGTTGGGTTAAAGCAGGTTTCATCCATGTTAATAAAATGTAGGTTTAGAATGCTGACATTATTTATATCATGATATAATTGATTAATTAGGATATACAGTATATTAGGACATATACTATAATGCCCAAAGTATTGGGACGCCTGCCTTTACACGCACATGAACTTTAATGGCATCCCATTGTTAGTCTGTAGGGTTCAATATTGAATTGGCCCGCCCTTTGCAGCTATAACAGCTTCAACTCTTTTGGGAAGGCTGTCCAAAAAGTTTAGGAGTGTGTCTATGGGAATGTTTGTCCATTCTTCCAGAAGCGTATTTGTGAGGTCACGCACTGATGTCGAATGAGAAGGCCTGGATTGCAGTCTCCACTCTAATTCAAACCAAATGTGTTTTATTGGGTTGATGCCAGGACTTTGTGTAGGCCAGACAAGTTCCTCCACCCCAAACTCGGCTCATCCATGTCTTTATGAACCTTGCTTTTTGTACTGGTGCACAGTCATCGTGGAACAAGAAGGGCCATCCCCAAACTGTTCCCAGAAATTTGGGAGCATTCAATTGTTCATAATGTCTTAGTATGCTAGCGCCTTAAGAGTTCCCTTCACTGGAACTAATTGGCCAAACCAAACCCCTGGAAACAACCCCACACCATAATCCTCCCTCCACCAAACGTTACGCTTGGCACAATGCAGTCAGGCAAGTACCGTTCTCTTGGCAACCGCCAAATCCAGACACGTCCATCGGATTGCCACAGAAGCATGATTTGTCACTCCAGAGAACACGTCTCCACTGCTGTAGAGTCCAGTGGAGGTGTTCTTTTATACCACTGCATCTGACGCTCTGCATTGCACTTGGTGATGTAATGCTTGGATGCAGATGCTCGGTCATGGAAACCCATTCCATGAAGCTCTCTACGCAATGTTGTTGGGCTTATCTGAAGGCCACATAAAGTTTGGCCTCCAAACAGTGCACTTCAGCATGTGCTGACCCCGCTCTGTCATTTTACGTGGCCTACCACTTCATGGCTGAGCTGCTGTTGTTCTCAGTTGCTTAAACGTTGTTACAATACCAATAACAGCTGACCGTGGAATATTTAGTAGCAAGGAAATTTCATGGATGGATTTATTGCACAGGTGGCAACAGTACCATGCTTGAATTCACTGAGCTCCTGAGAGTGGCCCATTCTTCCACAAATGTTTGTAGAAGCAGTCTGCATGCCTAGGTGCTTGTTTTTTTACCCTGTGGCCATGGAGGTGATTGGAACACCTGAATCCAATGATTTGGAAGGGTGTCCCCCAATAAGTTTGGCAATATAGTGCATACTATAAGGAAGCCAGAGACATATTGGCATAAAAGATGACCATGTGATAGCTCATAAGCCGGCTTTCCCTTAGGACCTTTTTTAAGTAATAATTGAAGTACTCATAAGATTTCACATGAGTATTTATTTACTGAATAATTTAGACAGGTAACAGTATAGACATGGTGCAGTACAGAGTGCTCATTGTTTGGGATAATCATAAACACCTAAATACTCCTGAAGTACAGTGTATGTTTACTCCTGATACATACAAGCAGCATCTTAGATTGGGTATTTGTTATTCTGTAGAATAGGAAATATGAGAGACAAATATATGCCTTATCCTGCATCTGTATATTAACAAACTTAAATTCTATTATATGCTTTATGATTCATAGATTAGTGCGCTCTCAGTGTTGGGATGATTCTGCCATCCATGACCTGTGTTAACCCCCCCCCCCCCCCCCAGTCTCTGATGGAAAGTAAATAGCCTAGTCTCAGCATCAGATAAGTGAACTATTATAAGTGAACTATTATGAATGGCAAATTGCTACATTTGAAATATGTTATTGTAAATTAACAATTGTTAAACTGTACCTACTTTTATAGATATCCTATACTTTCTGAAGAAGCAGATTTATTCTTGAAAGAAATTCCAGCTTCCTTCTAGCCTGTGATCAGTGTATTCTGAAAGAATGTTTGCTTCTCTTCTCATAATATAAAAGCTGTATAGGGGAATGGAAAGGGGTAGTGTGCATAGGCAAATGTTTGCTTTTGACTATTGCATATGTTGCTGTGATAACTATATTTTTGGAGCACAAGTGTTTTCATTTAATTTTATTATTATATTAATCACACTGTTGAATTCTAATAAAAATACACTGTATTACTTTGCACATGTGACATCTTAAATATTACACTATAATTGGATATATAGTAATGAATAATAATTATTGAAAAGACAAAGCAGCCAGTCACACCCTTACATTCTTCCACCTTTTCTGCCCAGCTACTCCATTCATAGAAGTTGTACTACAGTTTCCATGAATGAAACTCTTCCCCTGTGACAGCAGGCAGGGGTTCCTCTCCCTCTCAGCCGCTGTCATATTTTAAAATCAATATGGCTGTGTGGGGCTCCACCCACCCAGCCACATCATTCATTCACAGAGATCTGTGAATAGAGAAACTATAAGTCCCATATGCCACCATGGTAAATGTCTTGTAGTTGTCAATAGAATACGAGCATGTTGATCAACTTGCTCATTAGTTCATTCACAAGTTCTTCAGCTCTCTAACAGAAAACCCATACAGAGACATGGGCAGAAAGCTGTAGGAGGTATCTGCAGGAGCCTGACATTGCACCTGCATTTCATTGTTTGGGAGTTTAATGCTTTGCAGGCTCCTAGACAAAATAATATGAAATGCACATTTTCTTCTGCAAAAATATGAGCATTTCTTATTTTTTTCCCAAAAGGTGAACATAACCTTTAAATATATTAGTGATAAAAAGGTCATTGACAGAGGTGAGTTTGCTACAGACCTAACTAGGCATCCCAAAAGGCACATGAAAAGGGTTTGATTCTGTGAAGAAGAGGAATAGAACAAGAGCCAGAAGGAATCTGTTTGGTGCTTTGCATAGTAGTTTGTTGGTGCTTTTCTTTTTGTGCCTTAGCTGAATGTATGTGTTAAAATGCCCTGAAATGTCTTTAAGATGATACTGAGACAAGACAGTACATGCCAGTTCCAACCCCAGGCTTGTGGTACCCCACCCTGTGCATGTCTCTAAATTTATACAGAGATGGAGTGGGGGTAGTATTTTGTCAATTAATCAATCAATCAATCAATCAGGAGTGTATAAAAGTCACATGGCTAGCAGAGCAAACTCCTCACTATAAAACAAATTACTAGAGAGAGGACAGAGTTGTAAAGATTAAGATACGCTTGTTTGTTCTTGGCTTTAGAAACCTTTAAATGCTGATCATGGACTGGTTAAGCAAGATCTTTTCACATCCATGACAAAGTTGCTACACATCTCCATATACAAAAGTGCATACCACATATATGTTCTTCCCTATACCATACATTTATTCAGTGAAATGTTAATTCACATTTTGCTGGACTCTGAAGACACATTCATTGTTTTAAGCCAGGTGTAAAATGAGTGTTTACAAGCAACATGTACCATAGGGAAAGGTCAGTGGAGTGAAAGTTTTAGTAACTGCAGCTAGAATAAATGAGAATTTGTCATTGTGGAGATACTTAAGGAGTATCTTGTTGGCATTTAAAAAATTCAGCGCCATAAAACAGCATGATAATGGAATACAATGGCAGGAAATGTCTAGTTAATGACTGATGCAATCAGTGATTAATATGACAGGTGCAAAATCCATAATGAAAATCATTGTGTTTGGCAAAAGAATTCTGATGCTTAAGGGTGAACTTGGACTTAATTTTGATGAAAGACTACAGTAGATTGAAGAATAACATGTGTAAACACCATATTGAAAAGGAGATGAACTGTAAATGTAAATAGCTATACTGTAGGCACATATTATGGGACTGCATGCATGTATGTATGTAAAACAATCTTCATGCTTCTTTGCTGTATTAGACTATTAGTTAAATTGTTTGCAATATAAATAATATAATATGTAATGCAATATATTGTTTTATTAAATATATTAATATAAAAGTATGCATATTTTTAAACTAATTTAAAAAAGGAAAGAAATCTAAACCAACTATAGTCGGTACCAAACCAGACACATACAGTAGCTTAAAGAAACAAATAAATCCCAACTTTTCTTCTTTTCTTTTTTCTTCTTTTCTTTATATATACACCATATTTATACTTTAAGTCAAAGGAAATATTTAGGTCAGCTGAATTAACATGGGTTTCTCAAGCCTCAAGCAATACACAGTACAGTAAATTTTAGTCTGTTTTAAAATCCATTGAGTAGTTAATAATGGATTGTATTAAGCCAGAACTACACAAAAGCCTGACAGCTAATGTTGTTCTCCACATCTGAAGCAATGTAAAAATAATTTTTTGTTTCATATTAATAGCATTGAAATAGAGGAGTTTAGTTTAAAGCATTGAGCATCAGTAAAAAAAGGATGCATGTAGGCTTTTTACACAGGAGACTTCCAAATAAAGTCATGCTGAAGGGTTCATAGATGAGTGAATTTGTGAACAGTTGAAATATAAAGTATCCTCTAGCTGTTTATTGTATCAAACAAAAAGATATTTCTGCCTGTAAGAATAGCATAGCTTTTACATTCTTCTTGGCACAGTAATGTACTCTAAAAAGGTACATAGGTGTTGTAAACTGACCAAAATGTATTAAGGAAGCAAAACAGAGTGCCCATGTAGTAAAGTGTGCACTTAAATGAAGTTTATGAAAGGAATACATTTACCTTACTGCATTTACTGTAAGGAAAATATGCACACCTCAATAAATAATGAAACAAAGGATGAGTTGTATTGTAAATGGAATCCAATGTTAGCTAACTTAATAACTGTACTACTACACTTGGTCAATATCTTCACCTGGGAGACCTTGACTCTTTGTTTATTTTTAGCAGTGGGAGTCAGACATTCTTCATGATTGACATGGATCTGCATCACTGAAAGATGTGACTGATGATGGTTTTACTTCGTGGGGCATTTTATTTTTAACAAACTTGCTAAAAACTGTATTTTTTTTTGTTTTTACCATTCTTTGAGTGAATAAGTTGGGCACCTGTTACTCATTCACATGTGGGATGGTATCTGTCATTGGTAAAAGGGACTCTCTTTTTTGCAGTCATGCCAATCAGGATTTTTTTTGCCCACACAAGCAGGTTGGAGGGGGATTGCAAGTTTGGAATGTGGCATGCATTAATGCATGCATTTAACCACTGTATCCCACTTTCAATTGGTGGCAGCTTTCAAAAAATGTGGCTGTGGCTTGCTATCCTAGCATGGATTTTTCTTCCTTTTGCGTTTTAAGTGGTGACAGAAGCAGCAAGGTAAGCTATAGTATAGTGAATAGACAGATGGCAGTCCAATAGATGGAGTTTATATATTCAGTTTCATTTATTGGTTACATTTGAGATGGATTTGCATTGGGGAATCTATGGCTGTAATCAACTTTGGTAGTCTTTGTTATGTGCAGTTGCATTTGTCTTCCCCATGTTTTGTTGCTGTGAACTGGAGTATAGTTCTTGTTCTGCTTCTTTGCAGACTCTGTTGAGTGCAGCCTTGCTGGCCAAGAAAGGAGGAAAAGCAAGCATTCACCCCCCTCCTGAACCTTACCAAGTCACATGCCCTCAACATAAAGAGGGTACCAAAGCATATTGAAGCCTTACTGGCTTCAGTATCTGGAAACTCCCTTTAAAAACAAGGGAGCCTCAGATACCACCCCCCCCCCCCCCCCACAAGTGAAGGAGTATATAGTAGCAGCAACACTATTATTTACATATTTACAAAGTAAAGAAGTGTTTGAAATTGCCAGAAAATTATATTTCCCTGTTTTTGTTTTGTTTTGTTTAGGATAAATATAGTGAAATAAATAATAAGGGGTGTGTTGGTTTCTGGAATCCCCCTATTTATTATACAATTATGTACTATTTGCCGGTTCCTATAATTAGTTAGTATATATATATAAGCTTTGACAATGTTGAAGGACATAACACACT